CACTCGTAAAACAGCTTCTTCGGTGTTAATGGGCGACGGCATTTTACAAAATGTCGTAGAAAAAACGTTCTTGACTAAATGGCACTTGACTGAGAGCAGCCTGGTTTCAAGATTAATTTAGGCAGAACAATTGTCTAAAGTACAAAATCGAGTCACATCTAAGACAGAGAGGGCAAGAAAATTGCAATTTGGAAGCTGGGACAATGTCTTGTGATTGTAGCATCATCACAAAATCTTTGCTCATCTCCAATTGCCATAAAGTAGAATTCGCTGTGACGATATGGAGAAAAAACGCCTACTTTTATGAGCCCAACAAAGGCAGCGCAAGATGAATTGTATAAAGCAAAATTGCACATTTTCGAAAAGTGTTGTGTAACTCATGGCTACCGTACGAGAATTTTATTCTTTTTCTGGCACTTGCTGCCAACTCTCAACTTAAACCGTCTATAACAACAGGAGCAAAGTAACACTGCGAAAAAAATAGTGATAGCTTTTGAAATTATCACTTGATGTAAGGTGTATGTGACATGTGTTTGCGTGTGATAATCGGATTACGAAAGCAACAGTGAATAGAACTTAACGGATGAGTAATTTCCTTAACGGGGGGCCGTAATATTCGCTCCAACATCTCACCTAACACCTGCGACGCCTGTATATAAAGAGGCTTACACATTTCAATATATCAAATATTCCTTCACGAGGTTAACGAAGGGAACTACATGGAGAAGAACTCTTCCATGGACACTTCGATGCAGGATATGTCCATCGATGTGGACGCCTCGAAAAGCATGGACATGTCCATTGGTGAGTATTCTGTTTTCCTTCACCGTCATATTCAATTTTGACGCATTTGTTTTGTTACTGTTGACGCCGCTAATACCTAATCGACTTTGCACTAGAAAGAACTAGGAAATCGCTGGCTTCAATTTTAGACAACCAGAAATGCCTTTAATTTAACACGAATATTTACCTTAAATTGTCCTCACGCCTAGGTTTCGACGTTGATTGGCGATCGAATGCATGCACGTATGTTCTAACCTCTGACACAATCGCGAACAGCATTTCGCCATATTTCACGACTGCGTTGAGGCACGTCCAAATGTAACGAATTATCATGGCGTCGTTGTTGCTGTCATAGTCCCTCAAACTTGTACCTCACGGCAAACAAACTCACAATGTGTCCATAAATGCAAATACCCTGTTCTAGGTGAACTCAACACGAATGGACAATGTC